AGATCAAGTTTGAAAATAAGCTTGATCAGTTAAGTGTATATAAGTGGTTTTTCTTCAGATTTAATTCTTAGGCATGTTAACAGTCTCATTATATAGTGCTCGAAATTTGGCCGGTAGCAGCCACTTTTATTGAAAGGTCCCTCTATTAAAGAATGGTGTTAGATATTATATAGCATTAAATAATGTGAATTAGTTAAAATTACGTAATGTTATCTCTTAAAAATAAATATCAAAACAAATAGTGCAAATATTTTCATTTGTGGGGTTGCAAAGAGTCACATTTCTGAATATCCATGATAGTTTAATTTTATCATTAAAAAACTGATGGTTATTATGCTGTTAAGCATTGTGTAATATTGCATCAAAATTGAACAAAACCTTATTTTGGGCACTTCCTCCGTAGTGTCCGTGAAAGGAAAACCATGTCACTTGCTCCTCTCACATTTACAGGAAAGAAACAAAGAACTGAAATACAGCTTCAGTTGGAAAATCTGTCTCATTAGTTAATTTTCTGGAAGTTATACAGTTTTTTTGTGAAAATTTTTATCTTTCACATACTGGAATTTTCAGTGTGGGCCTTAGAGCTCCCTTGGGCATGAAGCCCAGTGGTAATTCTTAATGTCCATGTTTTTAATAATAGATATTTAAAAATTGGTAGTATTTATTACAGTTTTACATTATATAATGTTGCATCAAAAATTGCTGCCTTGGCAGAGGTCTGCACTCTTGGAGTGCTTTTCTAGTTTTGTTATGTTTTCCTTTTTAATTTTTTCTCGACACTGGCATTTGTAACTTTTAACTCCCATCTGCCTGAGGCTCTGCACATTTTCTGTATTTCCACATAAGCAGTTGTATTGGTTTTTATGTCTTTAAACATTATGAAATATTATTTTATGCACTGTCATCATTTTTCAAATATTGGGACTTTCATCATGTGAATTTGAACTCTCATGGTCCTGAAACTGTAATCTTATTGAAGGAGTGGATTGAGACCATCTTCTGGGTCTTCCGGAAGACGGTCAGGCTTTTAAGTTTATATTGACCGGAATTAATTTTTTTATGTTGGAAGACCATCAAAATGGAGGATGGATCAACAGAGATACTTTGGAATACTGTCAGAAAATATCTCTGGGTTCGCTCCTGTTATTGACCATGGTACCTGTTGTGCATGATTAAAATTCAGTGTTGACTGACAGTGCTATTATAAGCATTATTTATTATTGCATCAAAATTGACAAAATGACCAATTTTGCATCTTTATTTTTTTTTTTTTATTTTATTTTATTTATTTATTTATTTTTTTTGTCTGTACATTTGACAGCTTTGCTGCCTTGTTCTGAAAGTTATACATTTTAGTGAAATATTCATTATTATTTGTTTTGGCATATTCACTGTGGGACTTGGAGCTCCCATGGACATGAAGCTGAATGGTAATCAAATTTTCTACATGTCCATCGTATTTGAAGTCAATAATCAAAAATTGGTGATAATTATTATGTAATTTATTATGTAATGTTACATCAAAATTGACAAAAATCTATTTGCACTGCTACTACAAACATTATGAAAAGAAAACTGTGTCACTTATTATTATTTTTAACTTACAAGTATGATTTTTAGGATTGGCATGCAGTTCAAATTAGAAAGCCAGCCCAATTGGGTTATCATTTATTATTTAATTTATACAATTTTGTGTGAAATTTTCATTTTTCTCATTCTGGCATTTTCAAAGTGTGAACTTGAACTCCCATGGGCCTGAAGCCTTATGCTTGTTACACATTTTACTTACAACGGTATTACCTGTTGAGCATAATTGAAATTTGATGTTGAATTTGCAGTGAAGCATAATGTACTTTTGTATCAAATTGACAGTAGCCTATTTTGTGCATTGTTATTTTCTGCTTTTTGTCTGTACATTTGACAGCTTTGCTGCCTTGTTTGTAAATAAGTGTTTTTTTTTTCAGATTTAATTCTTAGGCATGTTAACAGTCTTATTATTGAACTAATCAGATATGTTAAGTGTTGTTTTGACATTTTCTGCTTCTTACCAATATTGTTTAGTTTATTATTTTAAAAAAACGGTAAACCTGTTAGCATGTATTGTGTAATAAAGTGTCAAATTGGAAATGAACTCTTATCACAGCAGTTCCTCAGATTTAATTATTCACTAAGTGAATGTCAGAATGATGCTAGTCGGACATTTAAAATTGTTCTATTGATATTTTTCCTTTGACGACACTTTTCTCAGTTCATCATATAAAAATGACAGTAAATTGAATATTTTGTTTTATGTAAAAAAGGTGTCTTTTCAGTACAGCTAGTTATCTCTTGCTTACATTTCAGGATTTTCAAGGTGTGACTGTGAACTCTATGGGCTTGAAGACTTTTGCTAGTTACATTTTCTGAATATCCATAATACTTTCATTTTATTATTAAAAAATTGATGGTCAGTATGCTGTTAGGCATTGTGTAATATTGCATCAAAATTGAAGAAAATCCTATTTTGGGCTCTGCCATTATAATGACGATTTAAAGGAAAGAAACATAGATCTAAAATGCAGCCTGAGTTGGAAAAGCAGTCTAATTGGCTCCTTTTCCAGTTGTACATTTTTGTGAAATTTTTATCTTTCACATATTGGCATGAAGCATTGTGGTATTAAAATTTTTTTCTTAATGTTCATGTCCATTAATAGTAAATAATTAAAAAATGGTGATATTTATACAGTTAATCATTATATAATATTGCATCAAGACTGACAAAAAACCTACTTTGTGCACTGCTGCCATAAATAATATGAAAAGAAAACTGTGTTACTTATAATTTTTTTAACTTGCAAGATTGATTCTTAGGATTGACATTATCATTTTTTGGATTATCACTTTTATTGAATTTATTCACTTTTTTCTGCATTTATGCAACACAACACATTTCAGGGAAAATCGATTGACCAGTTGTCTTGAAATTCACTGTTTAGTCTTACTGAAATACGGATCAAGTTTGAAAATAAGCTTGATCAGTTAAGTTTTGATGAAGTAATGTCTTATTTTGTATATAAGTGTTTTTTTTTCAGATTTTATTCTTAGGCATGTTAACAGTCTCATTTTTTAACTAGATATGTAAAAGTGTTCTTTTGACATTTTCTGCCTTGTTTATTGAATTAATGAATTTTTTTTTTTTTTTTTTTTTTTTTGCGAAATTTTCATTTTTCTCATTCTGGCATTTTCTAAGTGTGAACTTAAACTCTCATAGGCCTGAAGCCTATGCTGTTGTGCATGATTAAAATTTGATGTTGACTTTGCAGTTCGGCATAATGCATCAAAATTGACAGTATCCTATTTTGTGCATTATTACTTTCTGCTTTTTGTCTGTACATTTGACAGCTTTGCTGCCTTGTTAATACTTCAAAGAGACAAAGCGTAAGATTTTCAACTTTTTTTTTTTTTTTTTTTTGCTTTAAATTACATTACCACCTAGTGAATTAATTTAGGGCAAGTAATACTTATTGATTATTTTTGGCAGATAAATTTCATTTATGATCTAACACCGTTCCCGGGGACATTCCACCTGTCAACAATCTGGACACATTTTTGAGCCGTGCGCATCTATTAAAGATTGGCCATGAAAATTACAGTAAAAATACAAGATGCTCAAAATTACAAGATTTCAATAAAGATCAGTTTCCTGTTTTAACTTATGCCACGTTTAGAATAGTTCTTTTCTCTTGGAATCTTGTCAGCTCATCAACTTTTTTTAGTTCAACTTTTAAGAAATAATGCTTCTGCCTTACTCATCGGTATATGTAAGGATTATGACAGATACCTACATGTGAACTAAATTGACCGCTGTCGACCTACCCTCTACCAGGGTGGCAGATTATATAGGGAAAAATGGGAAAAACCTACCCTCTACCAGGGCCGCAGTTATTATTGTGGACATTTTTTGCTGAAAGCCAAAATGACTGTCCATTTATCTATAGACATATCTGTAAATATCTGTGGAAAATCAATCTGTCGCCCTGCTAGAGGGTAGGAAAAACCAGAGATAGTAAAATGACCGTCTTTTTATCTAAAGACGTACAGGTATCTGTGAATATCCTTTGAAAAGTCAATCTGTGGCCCTGGTAGAGAGTACTGGCGACCCATCAGAAGAAAAAAATAAATATAGTTAAAGCAAAACGGTTGCATTGATCGATTTTTACAACTTATTATTATTTTTCTTTATCAAACGAATACTCTTTACTTAGACTCAAAACTTGGTATCATTGATGAAGGCCGTGGGATAGATGTTGCTATGGCTGAACAATACCAAGAAAAAAAAAGTTAATTCGACCATGAGTGTCTTAATCAGAAGTCCTAGAGACCCATTAAATAATAGAGATTTGGGCATTAAACGGTTGTGTTTATTCTGTTTTGTTATACTAAGTGCTTCTCCGAGTTTGAAGTACTTAACGAGGGAAAAGTCGTGATTGCATTTCAAAATTGAATACAGCATCGAGTCGGTAAATATTGAAATTTGGAGAGACAAATTGAAGCTTAGTGGAGAGACTTAAATTGTCAGATCACTTGTAAGCAGAAAAGCCATCAAACTTTACAGCAGGGGGTACATGCTAAACTCTTCAAAAGTGTCTGCCATGTCACGTACAAACCTTCTTCTTTGATAATTATACACTTGATACAGTCCTCGAGCCCTAGCAAAGAAAACACGAGCACAAAAGTGAAATTATGAAAATTAAATAAGAAATGAATGGGCGGAGAATTGGCCATGCTTAGTCTCATTTGCACGCCACGCCGCATTTCTATGCAGGCTGTTTATCATTGAATATGATAACAAACAAGTAAACATATGGAATAAATAACCCTTAGTGACCGCACGGGAAAGCAAAACTTAGCCCAAACGACCCCAAATAATAGAAACACCACAAAGAAAATACTAGCAAAATTTATCAATTCAAAGCGAGTTAGAGGTGTATGTTACAGCATCGGAACAGAACAAACCGAACGGAGAAGAAAGCCAGACTCACTGGTGACGTACAGTATTTGTAAACTTGGCGACCGTAGATCATAGGGAACTTAACGCTCCCACCCGTTCGCCAGGAATCCGACACCAAGCTGTTCCCAAAGGCATTTACCAGTCGCTTAATTTACATCTTTGCCTTATGTGTTGGTATTGTCAAAAATTAACAGCCAGTTAACGTTAGGTAAGTTGCTACATTAGAAGAAATGTATACAACGAAATCCATAACCGTGATCGTCAAAAATTCAGATAATTGTATCACGAGAAAAATGAGACACTAGACTTAATCTGATGGTAATGATGGGTAAGCATTACACATCATGGTTACGTTAAGGTACAATGTATGTATCTAACTCCAAATTTAAATAACCGAGTTACGTGATAAAAAACGATAATTTCTTTCACACTACTTAGCTTTACCAAGTTTTTATTGGCTTAGGTATCTGGTTACTTGGAGCAGGCAACGTAAATCACTGCTTAGATAAACGGGATAAACCCACTAAGAAAACTTATGAATTAGATTTATGTAACACATTAAGACTGCTTAAATAGGGTTGCTTTTAGTTGTCAACCTGCCCTTGTCATCGATTGTAGTCTTAACTATGTTTCATTTTATCTAACTTAATGCGGTAAGGTTATTAGAATTTGATAATAATTTATGACTTATAGAGAACCTCTTATCAGTTCATTTCATTTTTAGTATCAGTCAAAGTAACAAATGACGAACCGGCCACCTCGTGCGCCCTCGGCTACTTTTACAAGCGACAGGAGATTTTCACGGCTGGGAAATGGACGTCACCCGCAAGCCCCTGCATCACCAACTACAAAAAAACGTAGAATACCAACAGGGCCACCTCCGACTAATTTCAACTGCGTGAGACGTAAGATTATGCTGGCTCTGACACCTCTGGAGTTGAAGCTGAAGGCGTTTCATGAAACATATTTGGCACCTACTGAGGAAATTAAAATCAAAGAAGTGAAAGGAAAATGGGTGGAATTGATAGATCTTGTTTTTTGGAAAAACAAACAAGAAAAATCTGTGGTTGTCGACATGAAGCATTTGGAAACCATTATAAATAAATATAAAAACGACAAAACTGTTACCAACAGAGCCGAACATGCCCAGATTCTTCACTTAATCGAGCGACACAACAAGTTTCTAGCACTTTACTCAGACGTTCGTCATCAGCTGCTTCACGCCGTGGTAGACAATCTCGAAAATTACTGTATAAGTTTCTTCGATGAGGCCAAGGAGCTGGACATCCAACCAGTGCAAGAGTACGAGGATCACATTATTAGTTGGGGTATCGAACTTCACGAGATGTTCAACAAAATGGTTGGGCTCCAACGCGAAATACGAAAATGGGGTTTTGACGTCATCCGCTATGTCAGAAGATACGACAAAATTCTCAGCTACATACAACAAATTTTCGAAATGTTCTGTAAGATATGTAAAATGGCGCGAAGATGGCTCAGCACAGACGAACTGTTTCCGCGTCGTTTACAACAGGAGGTAGAAGGCTTCGAGAAGCGTAAAAGAGAAATTCAGAGTAGAGTCAGAAGCCTGCAGATGAAACAAAACCACATCGCGCACGAGATACACGAGAAAAAGCGCACAGCAAACCTTGTTAATCAAAAGTTGAAGTCGGAGCGGATCCACGAAGCAGATGTAGTTGACTGGGAAATAAACATTCAACAGCATCTTTTTAAAACCAAAGATGAACTCGAAGCAAAAGAAACCGTGCTTAAAGACCTTCAACGAGCTAGAAGTGCCACGCCCTCTTTCTTGACGTCCGAGATACGTGAGATTGATCGAGCTTTGGAGAGTGTGACCGCTGAAATCAAAACTATGGAAAATCACATCCATTGCCTGACGTTAGAAAGGTCTAAAGTGAGAAGAAGCCAAAGTGCCATTGCTATCCATGTGCATCAACTTGAAAATGAAGCAGAGGACAAGGTTAAAACTCATAAGCGTGTGAGCCAAACGCTATCTATCCAAGATTACACACTACGAATGTGCCATGAAGAAATCAAAAGTATCGATATCAAGGTAGCAGCATTGAGAAGAATTTTGCAGCTGAAACTATCACCAGAATCTGCAAGGAAAATATATTTCAATGCTTTGGAAGCTGCAAAAAGTAAGTGTCATATGTTAANCTTCGAAAGCTGGAAAAACAGAAAATTGGGCATAAATCCCCTGAAATACAGTTTTATGGCATAACATTTGGCAGAAGTTAAAAGGGTCCTCAGGCAAGTATTTCAGCCCAATAAGGTCAAATTCTGTGAACCCCCACCTTGCCGCACTTGTCTGGTGCTTAAAAAAACTGGCACTTAATATTTAAAAAAACAAAGCAGGGGTGGGGCGATGGTAGGTGGGGCGGTGGGGGGGGTAGAGAGTTTACGATTAAATTGGAAAGTTTCAATACCGATCATTGTGAGAAAATGTAATTACATGAATTTTAAAATTGGTTGAATAACTTTTATGATTTTAAAGATGTTGTTTGTTTGGTATTAGTTATCTGTTCCGAATTTTTCTTTTTAGCATTTTAGCATCGGAATGCACCCAAAATTGTCAAGTTCAATATCATTTATACATATTTTTTTCTTGAAGGTGCCGCGAAGCCAGAGGTAACAGTGTACGAAGCAGACAAGGAGCGTACAGTCTCGAGGCCACGCACTGCACCAGCCAGGTTGTCAAGCAGCCGAGCCTGTGAGGTATGCATTTAAACAAATATTTTCTAACATCCTTTCTAATTACTTTAATAAATGAAAGATAAGTTTTCGGTAGAAATGTAGAATTATCAAAATAAGTCGCTTTGTTTCTGAGCTCTTCTGTTCAACTTCGCTCACTCCGACATCGATAGATTATTTGCATTTCAGATCTAGCCAAAACTGATATCATCATTATGTTTTGGAGCAGGTGATGCATAACATTTATTTATAGTTGTTTCTATTTACTTATGGGCGTTATTTTCCTAGAACCCAGGTTACGCTGAGATGAGGAAAAAGGGGTCATCCACCGTGATGTTACACCGACCACGGATCTCATCAGCCAAATCTCTTCAAAGAAGAAACAACAGTGAATTCATGATCACTGAATTACCAGAGTGACAACAAAACATGACGCTTACCCTTTGAAGGGTACTTTGATGATGAAGTTAGCCCCGAGCCCCGACTGTGGCGTGTGGGAACGTGTGTGTTATAAAGCTTGCGGAACAGACACCACTCACTGGGCTCTACCTGTGCTCTCTGATAAAGGAGGTACGACCAGCGCTGGGACTGCCTTGTCCGTCGCCACCGCTGCAAGGGCCTTTTTTTCTGAATGCAGCTTTACACTTCTTTCATTTTTTCTGGATTTATATAGATACAATGAGGTTTGATTAGGAAATATATTAACAGTTGAGCCTTTTCTGTCGTTAAGGAACATTTGGGCATGAAAAAATTATTGAAGATTTTTATTTTTATTTTTTTTTTCATTTTACAGTGTATGCACTTAATTATATATATACTGTATATTGAAATGATGATGAAAATGAGATGACACAATAACTTGTTATGATATCGAGAGCATAATAATGAAGAATTCTGTAATGTCACTAGTCACTGGAAAAAATTAATCATTTCTCTGAATTTGTGTGTTAGAGCTTATACCCCCTTTACACTGGACGGCGTCCTTTCTGCGTCCTCTCTGCGACCATGAAATTTGGCATCGCGGTGGTCTTAATAAAGAAGCACGAGCACTGACTTTGTATCAGAAGAATGCTCAATGATCGGCCAGTTGTCGGCACGTAAAATATTTTAATTTTTTAACTCTCAAATGGGGCCGTGCTGCTGGACGCAGAAAGGACGCCGTCCAGTGTAAAGGGACCCTTAGTCAGCAATCTGTCAACTTTCTGCGCATCCACACATGATGGAAAATAGACATTATTAATTAGCTGCCGTAGCTGGGCTAGAATCAATTCCATCACAATTTAATAATATGATTAGCATTTTAATTCTACGTGTAATATACAACTTGCTTCATCAAGACAATAAAACCATATTATGGCTTTTTCATCTTTTTCTTCTTCTTTCTTTTTAAATTTACTGGTATGAATGATGTTTATTTTCGTCGAGAATAGGGCCGGAGGGAAGGTGTCGCAGTAAATTACTCGAGCAATAGTTTGTGTAGAGGCTAGATCTTGGAGTTTTTTTCCAAGGGATATTAGATTTGGCGTAAAAATCCAGGATATGTTACCTTAAATTGTTACGTTACATTATGTTGCATATACAATCGAAATATTTATTGCAATTTTTATGTACACATACTTAGTGCAACTTTATATTATACATGTAATTGGTATGCAAGAAGACTTCCAAAGCAATCACCCTATTCAATTAACGCTAGTTAGTGTAAACACTAACATTCAAGTAAATAGGCCTAATTTCTTTTCTTTCTTTTACTTTTGTTAAAGTAAACGATTTAAGCACACGGATTTTAAATTGGAAAAGGCAGAAACATGGTAGAGGTCATTTTCCAGCAAACATTGACACTCAGGACTGTAGGGCCTACATGTCGGGGTGCATATAAAGGCCTTTTTTTAAGTGATGATTTTTTTAAAGAAATAATTACAAAAACTCACTTAAAGAAAAGCAATCGACTTACTTTGAATGTTAAATGGGTTCATTATTAAACCATTGGAAAGTATGGGGAAATTGTCGTTTCCCCGGGAAAATACATTTTAAAGCACTTTTCCGGCCAAAATGAAGAAATATTATCTGGTAAAATGAAGCATATTCGTAGTTTTAAGGATATTGTAAACCTTTAATTATAATCATCCAGATACCGAAAATGAGTTTTTTTTTTTTTTTCCTGCGTCTAATTATCCAATAATGCATCTATCTTTATGCTGATTTAAAACAATGAAAAAACTCTCGGAAATATAAAATATCGGTGTTTATATTCTTTTGTTGCCACGTATAAGCATCGGCAACAAAAGGGTTTAACCGTCAATTTAACACCTTTCTATTTTGAGTTGAGATAGCAATCGGTATGGGGCACACTTCATCCCTGAGGAAGATTTTATCACGAAAATTGGCAGAGTTGACCTGGAGTGTATAGGCTACAATCCCGTGTCGTCATTTTGGTTTAAATGTTTTTGTTATGGACTTATGAACCCGTAATTACAGATTCTCATTAAACAAAGGCATTATTAGGCTTCATCAACGATAAAATCTGAACTAAGAGTTTTAAGAAAAATCGCTGGAAAGGTTTTGGAGTACTAAATGGTTTCATTAAATCGGCGTTGAAACGGTGATCGTGGGTGCTCAGGTAAAAAAGAACTTTGAGAAGCCGATTTTGCAGTTTTTACCCCAATTATGACTTTAATTTATTTACATTTCTAAGGTACTAGATTGTGTGGCGCTTTACATATGTTCTGAGGCCATTTCTTGGTATAAACCATCTAATCTGAGAGCAGAAGCGGGTCGAGCAATTGTTAATGTGAAGGCTAGATTTTGGGAAATTTTTTTCCTAGGAAAATTATATTTGGCGTAAAAATCCAGGATAGATTACACTTTAGGCTTATTGTCACGTTACATTATGTTAATGTAGGCCTACACGCAATCGAATATGTGTTGTAATATGTAGGCCTACACATACTTCGTGCAACTTGATATTATAAATGGTATGCAAGGAGGCTTCCGACGCAGGCACTCTATTAAAAAAAAAAAAAAAAAAAAAAAAACTTGATTAACGTATATGTTAATGTTCTGGTAAATAGACCTTCTAGTAAATAGTTCTTTTTTCTTAAAACGATTTACGCACAAGGCATTCAAACTGGGAAAGGCAGAAGCATGGCGATAGTAGCCTAGAGATACCAGGGCAACAGCTAGACCAAAATGACCGTCTATTTATCTAGAGACATATCTGTGGAAAATCAATCTGTCGCCCTGGTAGATTATATGGCGATAGTAGAGGAAATCCAAGTTCAGCCAATCTCACCAGGCCCACCAGATCCACCTCCTCTCTTTGCTGTACCAGTAATGACAACAAAAAAATTCACTGAAACCTACGGCCACAGGGCATTTTCACTTGCATCACCGTACCCATTTTATGGAATGAACTACCCTCACACATTTGATGTGTGTTGAGGTTTTTAAAAAGCCTTGAAAACATTCTTATTTGCACAGCACTTCAATGAGAATTTAATACTTGAAATTATTATTATTATTTTTTTTTTTGGTCATTTTATCAGAAAAAGTTTTATTGTTTAGACTATCACTATTATAACCAGCATTTATCATTAATTTGTTTTATTCACCCTAGCCTTTATTATTTATATAATTACTTGTAAAATTCTGATAATTTGCATTAACACGTGTAATTTAACATACTACAATATGTAAACATATATAAATGTAGGCCTTATATCCATATATATTGTGTAAATATTGTAGTCTAGAGAGCCTGCAAATGTATTCATACCATACCTGGGCCACAGTCTGTTTTTTTTTTTTTTTTTTTTTTTTTTTTTTTTTTTTTTTTTTTTTATTTTTTTTTTTTTTTTTTTTTTTTTTTTTTTTTTTTTTTTTTTCTAGATATTCACTGAAGAGTTATTATCCTATTCGTAGTTCTATTCCTGCATGTCTTGCGATAGAGCGCCACCTATAAACACCACTTGTTAGTTTCAGACACCATTCTATGTAACTGCGTCAAAATGTGTTTTTAGATGCTGTACACTTCTTGCAGATATTTCATTTGGTATGTGTACTGCATTAAGTTTTGGCCAGATCTCTATCCAACCAAAAATAGTATTGGAAACAAGGCCTGATAGGAAGACGAGAAGTATCGGCTAGACAGTCTGCCTCACTCCTCAGTGCTTTATTTGATTTGTACCTACATCATACAAGTAATCTAGGCTGGATAATGACTGGATATCGCTATTTTGTTGTACTGTTTCTCATTGTATTTCTTGAGTCAAGGTAAGAATGAACTTTGAGTTTAACATGCGTGATTATAGTGTGTAACCTCTAATGATACTTCTAATGTCCTAAGTTTATATTAATGCTTCCGAGTTCACTTTTTAGTACGACGACGTACGTTACATGTATAATAATGATAATCATTGATTTAATCGACCATGTGAACAGAGTGCTATTGAATGAAATTTTGCTGGGTCAGACTGGCTGATATTCTCCTTACTTTTCACCTTCACACGTCACTTATGTCATAAAAAGTTAAAAGATAGGTTATACACCCATAAAGATTAGCACGAAAATTCATGCGTTAGCACTCCTGTTGCACCCTGAGCTTCAGAGATAACTTGACACTAACCTCTTCACTATAGCCTATCTTCATCGTGTCAAGTTACCTCTGACCACATTCGATTGCCCCCGCCGCCCGCCAATCAAATTTAAAGCCCGCACTCAATGACTCATTGAACGATCTAGCCAATGAACGCGAACGAGTCAAAGCGCGCTTTGTTCAAATCCGGACCAATCAAAGATAAGGCTGAATATCAGGGACTTGCCGTAACCTGTGGGCAGCACGCAAAATACATCATCCCTCAGTAGATAATTATGCAGGGCATCAAACTGCTCTGGTTTCAATTCCGATATACTCCATGCTTTCTTTGTGTACGGTTATGCACTCGGAACTACTCGGATGTCTCCGCACTCGACAATAACTATGTTGTTAGTATGGAGCTTGCGGAATCAGACGAGGATTGCCGATTGACGGTCAACCAATCAGCGTTTTCACCAAACTTTGGTGAAAAATTTTGAAACATGGATTCGATTGGCTTATATAAACTAGGTCAAACTATTTTCGTCAGAGGTAACTTGACATGATGAAGATAGGCTAATAGTGAAGAGGTTAGTGTCAAGTTATCTCTGAAGCTCAGGGTGTCCTGTTGATGATTCTGATATGTACTGTCTGTGCTAATATATCAGAATCGTCAATAGGAGTGCTAACGCATGAATTTTCGTGCTACCATAAAGTTGTGCATTTCACATTTGATGAAATAATTTTATTTTGGTAGAACTTAAAAGAGCTCTCCACTCTCTCTAAAAAAACTGACCCATATTTGAAAGTTCCCTACATTTATTTACATCCTCAAAACTTCTTATATATTTCCCAATTGATTCCTTAAAGATGATAAACCCCATTAAATAAAGATTTATGTGAAGCTTACCAATAGTGTCATTATTATCTTCTCAGCCTGTATTATACATGGTACAGGGCTGTGTTAAAAAACACCACGCCATTGCCTTGTGTGAAAACGAAGACATGATGATGAAGGTCATTCTAAATGACTTGCCAGCCATTTAAATGTAACTTATTGAATTTAAAATGGAATAAGGCATTGAATCCAACACCCCATTTCCATAGATTTTTAGATCGATCTATCCCTGTGGGGAGTCTCACTAGATTACTGTCAGCTAAGCCGGCTTAAGCGTCTGTCCCGCCTACTGAAAGCCGTAAGGGTGTAATTAACTATGGTGCACGCTCGGCTGACTGCAAATTAGTGTGAACCCCTAGGGAGTTAGGTTGATCTAAATTTTAATCCCTGGATCAATCTAAGTCTCTGGGAATACACCCCAAGTGCAGGGAGGGGTCTGGCAAAGATTTATTAGTAGGAGAAAAATTGCCCTTTTTCATTTTGGTTGGTAAACCCTGTGGAGAGGGCCTTTAAATTAAAACGAAAGAGAAGTGCACTGATAGTAGAGTATCCTGTTACCCATATGCCCTTAATTATTTTAAACAAAAGTTATCAATAAAATAATTTCATCAATATTAGTGATGTGTGGAATCCTATTTTTAGGGAGGAGTGGCAAGTTTGATAGACAGTAAATCCATCTAATGTCATTTTACTATTAACTGACCCATATTATGCCCTAGGCATTTGTACATGTACCTAGAACTGATGTTTATATTTGCTTTGACAGTGAATCTGCAGGAATAAACTGTACTGTTGCCAGTGGCCTACCAATTCATGATGTACTGAACACCACAATATGTCCAGGGTCCTCTTGCCTTGTGTTCACATACAATAGCCACCAAACACTTCACTTTGATCATGAAACTGTGATAACATATGGGTGCGCAGACAATGAAACTTGCCAACCAGACATTATAGGGAACTGGAGAAGGGTGAGAATGCTAAATGTCATAACTGATGAAAAGATATTAGAAGAAAAAGTGTTTAATATATAAAATGCATGAAAAGTGTACTCAGGATATTGTTCTATGAAGTTAATCCAAATATTGCATTTTTATTTCATTTCAATTTTTTAAAAATGCTTTCAGTAATTTGTAGATAAGACAAGATTACCCAATTTTGATTTAAAAAAAAGTTACTTTCCAGGCAAAATATGATGGAAAAGATGGTATGCTTTTTTGCTGTAATGAGAATCAGTGCAACCTGCCAGCAGAAATGAAAAGAAACCACATGTTCAGGCCAGCCTTGGACATTTCAAGTTCTCTTCAATGCTATGAAGGAAATCTCAATTCCACTTTAAAAAGTTAGGTCACACGTTTTCAATTACCATCTTTAACTTCTATATTATAATTAATATGTTATAGTTGCACTGTAACCAAAAAGTCTTTGATTGATACATGTTAATCTTTCCTATTTCATTTAAACTTTCATATTTCTCTTTAATTCATATTTATAATTTAAGAGAAAAATTAAGTAACTTAAAAAAAGAGAGATAAGCCTATTGTAGCAGCATCCACAATGCTTTAATCATAGAAAGTCTCCTCTTGAGTTTAGTGAGAGTTAATTTTTATGTACACATACGGACCTTTCTCAAGTGTCTTAATTATTTTTGACGGTGTCATGCAATACTATTTTTCAGCCTGTTCCAGTAGTTTATGTTATAATGTGTCAATGCTGGATAGTGATAGAAAACTTCAAAGTCACTTTTTTGGATGTGCTGGTCAAAATCAGGAAATATGCAAGGATCAGAAAACCAATGTGACATTTAAGGGCTGCAGAGAGGTAGGTAGTAAATGTGCATTAGAATCAAATATTGTACAGGCTGCACTATTTCACTGGTTTCTTTTTGAGACAGAAAACTTAGTTTTGCACAAAAAAAACCCTGTTTACTCATAACAAACTTCCATATATTATGTGCACTATTACAGGAATATCTGAAACATTATATATAAAAGTGAGTGCATTCCCATGAAAAAATTTAATAAAACAGCCCCGTTTCATATTTCAGCAGCAGAAAATGTTTTAGGAAGGAATATGCAGTGTAATCTATAATATTATAAATTAATTTTTTATATTCTATTTTCTCTAGAAAAACAGTACCAATGGACATCTGGCAAAGTTTTGTTGCTGTGACTCAGAAAAGTGTAATTTAGATAAGGCACTGGTAGGGAAACCTAACCACACATCACAAAATGGTTCACTGTTGAGTCTGATATCTCACGGGGGCTGGATTGTTACTGCAGTAATCGTCTTGGTAGTAATTGGAACAGTATTCACAATATTTACTGTGTCTTGTGTGATCTACAATAGGCGTAAGAAGCAAGCGGGCACAACAGATCATCAGCCAGCATTTTCCTACCAGAATCTTCAGGCCGATTCGGTACAGGGATATGAACAGCTTTAAGTACGATATGACTCCATCTTTTCAAAGTGGAAGTACAGTCAGTCTTCAATTATATAATTTTGCAATCATTTAAAATAAACTTCTGTGCAGCATTTGTGGTACTTTTCTTGTACAGAATAGAAATATGAGGTAGCCTTCTTTAAATGTTTGTTTCAGTCTATAGGAATGTTCGAATTTGAGGAATTTTTGACTAAAAAAATACAGTATCTGTAAAATGTACAATTTTCCCCAGTGAAAAGATGGAGTTATTACTGTATTTTGTTAACAAACATCTATTTTGGACAGTTATTTTGCTATTGAGCATGTAATATTGCAGTTACATCAGTTACCCCACATACCAGCAATGGTACCAAAGTTGTCATCTTACAACAAATATTATGTAGCTACCATAGCTTTAAAAATGTTGCTTATAAATCAACTTATCTATTTGTAAGAGCCTCATATTTCCTTTCCAAATTTTTTGGTCCTGTCAGTAGAATTGAAGACGTATTTTGAGTGAGGGGTCTGTAAAAATGACTGAAATGCTACATGCATTCAACTAGTGATAGCAAAAGGACTTTTGATCACAATTGTTTTTGATTACATTTTTCATTCAGAGGTATTAAATTAGAAACCATATTTTGGTTTATTTAAGGCTAAAACTCTTGTTGAAAATGTATGTATAAGATCTGAGAATTCCATGTAAGTTGCAAGATATGTCTTGTGATGCATTTATTTGAACATTTATTTTCACAATTTTTTCTTTCCAACTTGATATTATAGATTTTGTTCATTAATACAAATAATATGTCCAAGTCAGCTGGTGAGGTTCAAGACAACTTTTTGTACATTCTACAGTGGTACAATCACATGTAACTTGTCTTTGTATTTTTAAATACTGTTAATTTACTCTTTTTTACTTGGGTGTTCATATTTAAAATATTTTTCCAGTTGTGTACAAGTGATTCACAGTATTATAGCTGGCTGTTTGAAATGTATAATTTTATGAAAAAAGTACTATGTAAAGTAAAACCATTTGCACCATTTTAATATATTGTGCACACAATCATTTTATCATCTACAACCAAAAGACTTGCTTATTGGTTATTTAATGTTATTCCAAGTGGTATAAGACTTACATAAAATGTTTTTTGAATTACTCAAGTTTTGAAAAAAATACCACCAAATGCAATTTATCATGACTGCAGCTAGTTAAGAGTAAGACTAATGAAATGTATCTTAAATTTTAGATTTTTTAAAATAATGAAATCTAACTTCAGCCTCTTTAAATGTACAACACATGTACCCTTGTTAATTTATGTATCATTCTTGTACAGGAGAGTTTGAATATTAACTTAACAATATACCATATTTCACATATTGATTGCTTTCTTTCAAGTTGGTTACATAAAATGCCACTTAAGTGTGTTGGTCTGTCCAGTTCAATTTCCCATGTACATAAAATCTTTATAGAGCACATACACACAAATGGTTTCAAGTATTCTATCTTTCACTAATCCTTACTGATTAACATTTTTCCCCAAAAAATTACCAAAAGGAAACGTCTTATGAGAACAATGTCAACAAGTTAAAACAGAATTGTTTGACTTTATAGGTATGATGTACACATTATAATGAAGCAAGGAACTTAATTTCTTTAGTGGTAATTTTTGCAAACAATATTTACCAGTTTTCTGGAATTATTTTTGCACATCATTTTTTTCCTTTTTCAAAAAACAAGCATGTGGTCAGGACCCAAAATAACCTGCAGCTTATTGTTCATTTGCACAAGGTTAGGAGAAGACCTGTTTTCACTGCATTGCAGGAAAAAAAATTACCACACAGAAAAATTTCACAAAACAATTAATGAAAATAACATTCCTCTGAAAATTCTGAGCACAAAAGTGAATGCTCAAAATGATGCAATGAAACTCACATTCAGTTAAATATCTGTACATTATACATCTGTATATTACTTTTGTTTATTTATGCTTAAGGAATTATTTTCCCTTTTTCTTCCCCTTTGCTCTGCTCCCCATTGCTGCTCCTTTTTTGGCACCTTTTACTAGGTTCTTGAAGCGACCTTTCATTTTGGAGCTTTTCCTACAAAAAAAAAAAAAAAAATTATAACACCTTTAAAAAGGAGCATCATATTTAACTGTGAAATCAGTCAAATTCAATGAACAAAAACTGCACCTTATCTATTGGTAAAAGTAAGCCAGGGTCAAGCACTTTTCAAGGCAAAAATAAAATTCAAGGACTTTCCAAGGCAAAGTGTAAATTCAAGCACTTTTCAAGGCCCGTGCGAACCCTGGTTAACCCACAATCCACATGCTTCTTTTGCATATGGTCAAAATCAAGAGTATGTAGGGAGTGAAGTGAACTCTCCCCCTCCCTCTCTCTCTCTCAAGAAACTTGAAAAATACTCTCAAATATGACCTGCCCAGTTGTCATCCCTATTATTGAATCCAAATTGAACAATGACAACATCAAACACTTTCAATCAATACATATTAAGGAAGTTTTACAAGGTTTTATTTATAATTTTTAAATACAAATTTAGCATTAAAACTTGCCTCTTGTTTAAGAATTTCATTTCAAGTGGAACATAAGCATAGGGGTCTGGTTTGCCTACCCTCTTCACATCTCCTCCACCCTTCTAAAAATTAAAATGATACAACAAACAGAGGAATTAATTTTTCATTTTATAATCATACTTATTTTTTTTTTTTTTACTTTTTTGTTTTAGTTAATTATTGTTTGACTGCTTAACATCTAAAATATGTCATGCATATCCTGATAACTTAATCAGAATATTTTAAAAGAAAACTATTTTAGCCAGCCTTTTATGTGCAAATTAAAAAGAGATGACTAGCAAAATATCTCACTGTTGATCTATATTCACTGCCATAGTCTCCTTTTTTCTCTGCCTTTGATCCATCTAAGGGACGATGAATTCCTGAACCTCCAGCTAAATGAAGATGAAAAATTGATTGAGATACTTTAAAGACATGAAATATAAGTTGTCAAAAACAACCATGCAGGCTGTCTTACTAACCGATACCTTGAACACCCTGATACTGTAAAAAAAATGTATGTGTAGAAAAATGTATGTGTAGTACTGTAAGAAAACTATGGAGCCATTTGAATTCATCTAATCAAATAGCTATCCAGCTATAAATTCAACTTTTAAACCAATTTTAACCTTAGAAATAAAATTGCAACACAAAATGGAAAATAAAACAACCTTTGTACTTCGCTGGTGCCTCATCCATATCTTCATCCACTCCTTCAAATTTTCTCTTTTTACCAGATTTCTAAAATGTTAAGAAACAATCTTTGTATTGGATTCACAACTTACATGTTAACATTTCATTAATATTAAATGTAAATATTTCTTTTATGCAACACATATGAAAGCACAAAATGTTTCCAGGCATGTGTCTGAGCCTCACAGAACAGGTGTTACAAATTGCCTCAGTTCGCAAAACGTAAACAGAAGATTAAATCTAGGTAGAATCCAAAGACTATAAAATTTTCAAAACAAAGTAAGTTAACCTACCTTTCCTTTGTATCCATCCATGGCATCAAGTAAGTCATCTAAATCCTCCATTGCTTCCTCCTCTGTACTTTTATCTGCTGAAATTATAAATGACATCTTAATATCACTTTCACTTCATACAAATATACTTTTAAAAAAATGGAATAAAAGTCATACGGACAATAATTATAATGTATGAAGGGACCCTATTCACATAATGGGCATACCAATATAAAGAATTGACAACAGTGCAAGACAAAACTATCAGTAAAAATAAAGTAATAAAGTGGATGACACTAATTAATCACTTACTTTTCTTTTCTTTCGTTTTTGATGTCTTCTCTTCATTACCCTCCTCTGTGATAATCATTCTACCATCAGCTGCCATCTTAAAACCTGCCTCTTTAGAAAGCTTTTTACTTGTTGATGCTATTTCTGGTTTAGTAGCTGAAAACAAAACAGTTTGTATGCAATACATAAAGAAAATAATACTGCACTTGCTGTCTTTAGGTTTTGTTTAAATTTTCTGAATTATGTTGAAAAGTGGGCATGTTACTTTACCCCTTTTTATACCAAGTAAGTACACAGAGTAAGTCATACCTAAAACTTTTTTGGAAACAGTTGGATCCAAGAAATCAATGAATTCATCCCCTCCCCCTTCCATAAGCCATGTTTGATTTCCTTTTTGACTTTTGATCTTCTTGGCCTTGGGTTTCTTTTCTTCCTCCAAATCTGAGTCAATGTCTTGCAACAAGTCATCAATGCTAGGAAAACACATAAATGATTGTCAGAGAAGAATAATGTATTGTTCCCCTAGCCTATCATTTATTTTTTATTTCATATTTGATTTTTATCCATATGAATATCAAATACTAACTCTTGTGTTTAAAGACAATCCATTGTATATTTTCATCTTATTTAGGGCAATCAGTCCTTATATTCATGAAGAGAAAAATGAATAACTCCCATGGCCTTTTTTTTTTTGAACATAGTAACCTGACAGAAAAAAATGACAAGTTGCAACATGAGGATAAAAAAAAAAAATTACTTTTCTGGTTTTGCTGCATTTCTAAATCCATCATCATCCTCATCTTCCTCATGGTCACCTTTGGCATGTTTATTTTTAGCAGCTCTCTCCTGTGTTTTCTTTATGTTCAACAACATTTTGTGATGGCTGACTGGAACCATCTCATGAACAGTCTCATAGCTACAAAAAGATAATACACATCCAAACAGCACAGATGTTTAAAAAAACATTCAAGACATCAGTGCGTTTCTGCTAATTCAAATATCCATGCTTATTTAATAAAAATGGATTTAATTACATTTTCATTATCATACCACAATTAATATGCAATTAATATCTTACCCAAATTTCTTAATGAGTCTAGCAAAAACTTCTTTAGCTTTAAATCGGAAATGGTGTCTATTTTCCTCTTTCATGCTTACAAGACTAGAAACCTGAAAAAAAGGAAAAACCTAAAATGAATCATCCTGAATACCAATACAAGATTGTCTGAAAAATAGTATGGAAATATTTTAGCAGTGTACAAAGACTTATCATAAACCTATAAGTAACACTTACAACAAAACATTTAACATTTATCATAAATAATCATTTCACATTAATCAACATTTAATAAAAGTAAGACCATACCAGTTTATTCAAATAAGCTGCCAACTCAACATCTTTAAATACTGCTAGCAATGCTTTAACAAAGCCTAAGGCTGAGAATACAACTTCTCTGGCCTTAGAGGTCAGTAATAGGCAGGCATGGTCAACTAGCATGTCCAGTGATTGACTGCCAACCTTGTCTGCAAGATAGCATAAAAAGACATTACAGTCAGCTGAGTAAAATTATTGATAATAGCAAAAATCCTGAAAATAGTCATTATTATTGCTATTTAAAAACATCAATAAGCAATTCCAACTAACCAGCATTTAAAATGCTGCTTTGATTTGATATTTTTGACAGACACAGCTTGAGAGTGATAATAAAATATATAAACAAAATAATAACTTGATCAAATAATTACCAAAAAAAAAATTACCTCTGAAGTGATAGAGTGTCCTGCTGAGGGCTAGCACTGTGGCACTAACCATGTGTGGTGACCCTGCAAGCCCTGCCATTAACAACTGGAGATACTGGTGAACTACATCTGTACAAAGAAAATAACAATAACAGTATGAGTAGGACATCTTCATTAGCTAGAGATGCGCATGTGATATCTTTGTTTGAAAAGATTACAAATGGGTCACCAAATTAAATTCATGGAGAGTGCACAGCTGATTTACAAAATATGTTATACAAAATCATGAGATTTTATGTGTATGGAAAGGAGGGAGCAAATTCAATCATCAAATACCAGATGTAAAATTCAGGAGAAAAAAGGAGGTAAGTATTTTGATTATTTTCTTTGTGATCATTTTAAGTATTATGGTTGACTTTTCACCTTTTTCTGATCTGTCTTGTGACCAACGAAGTAGAGCTGTCCCTATCTCTATCAGAAGGCCAAAAGCAGCTGCCCGTGCCTTAGTTGCTACCTCCTTGACACACAGTATAGCCTAGAGAAAGAAAAAAAAAAACTTATTTACAAAAAACTCACACTTTCAAAGATCTTAAAAATATATAAAATAGAATGACTACTTTTTATGCTAATTAAATTTTATCATTCTGCTTTTACTGTAATGAAATTGTCACATTATGGATAAAGAGTTTGTATGCTTTATAAGGAAACTGGACAACATCTATAAAATAATCTTTGGTCAAGAGGCCAAGGTTTCAAGTGTAAACTGCTTATAAATTACCTCAGGCACTACCGCTATTATAAAGTCTTCTTCACTCTCTTGTAACTGTTTCAATATGTGGATCAAACAGCGTAACCTTGGCTGTAATGGAAATAAATTTATATTACAAAAAAAAGAAATGAACGGACATCTGTAAAAATTAACGTGAAGTCTCTCCTTTCTATCTGTGGTTAACAGAATTACACACTTCCTGCAGAAAAAATAAATGATACAAATCAATATCCCTGACCAATTATCATGGTTGGTTAACAGAATAGCTCATATTTCCACATAACATCAAATACCATCCAAAACAGTCAAGGAAAAGTACTCACAGCTTTAGCTGGTGGACTTGAACTGGATAAGGATTTGAGCAGCATCTTTTGAAGAACAGGGATATTTTTGAAGACAAAATTTCTGCTGTTCTCAGACTTCCCAGCACAAACCTCCTCCAATATTCTGTAGGACTTTTTCTGCACTGTCTTGTCTGTACTCTGAAATGATCACACCAATAAAAAATAATAAAATGCATTTTTCATGTGATAGGTTTTTTAAATTACTTTCAAATATTAAAAAAATGTTACACCATATCTCATATTAAAAGAACACTTATATAGGATTATTTTAATATCTGGGACATATTTGGCCAACATAATTTTTGTAAAGGGATTAGAGAACATTTTACCTTTTGACCATCTTCCTAAGTTAATTACTGTTCTTTAATAAAAAAATAATATCAGATTAAATATAATACCAAATAAAAATATTTTTTCTTGATTTTCATATCTCTGTTAACACTCACATCTATCCAAGAAGACATAGCTGCCATCATCTTTTGAATCCTATCTTCTGTTACATATGGTACCATCCCAATCACCAGATCAAGTAACGAGTGCCTTAAAAAGGGTTTTATCATAAACTTTAAAAAAAACAATCAGGTATGGTAGTAATGGTATTTTAAGTACCAGTAACAAGATTTCCAAATTAAAATTACAGAAGGGAGTTAAATGGGTTTGTGTGTGTGTGTGTGTATATATATATATATATATATATATATATATATATATATATATATATATACACACCATAGTACAAAATCAATCTCAATCTGTCTTATACCACATACCTTAAGAATGGTTTGGCATCTTCATCTTCCAACTTAGACATACACTTATCAAAGAATGAGTTAACCAGCTAAATGAAAATGAAAATTTCATTTCAAAAAATTTGAAAAATCAAACTGGCACTGTATGATATGAATATATTATAAATCCTCAAAAATTTCAATACTTGTTGTTATCTGTAACATTTGCTTATAATAACAATAATTTAAAATGCAAAACCTGAATTTAACTACACAGGAAATGGGAGTATTGTATTCTGAATAATTCATAACACCTTCTGATAACAAACCCTGTGCTATTTATCAGTAATATGGTCTCTCCAATACAATTCAACTTATGGATCTTATCATTATCTTTTCAATGCTAATGGCAGTTCTTAATTCTCAAATTAGAAAGGCCATACTGAAAATAAGCACTTAAGCACTTAATGAAATGATATCAATGACACGCTTGTCAGCATATTTCAAAATTTTGATTCTAAGATGGTATCTCATACTAACACTACCAATCAGTAACCCATGTAACTAAGAATAATCATTCTGTGAGTCCTTACCTGTTCATCACTTATTTGAATATAGCACCTGATGGTCTCTAGTACAGCCAATCTGGACATGTCCTTTTCACTCTCTGGGGCAGTAGTGAACAGGTTAAACAAGATTGGAAGGAAGTTCTTAGAAAACCTGGCAAGCTCTGCTCTGTTCTCATCTGCAAATTACATGAAGTAAAAAGGTGTCAAACTACTTCCAAAAAAGAGAGAAATGTTTCATTAACCAAAAGTCAAGTTTTTTTACTTAGTTGATAGAGAGCAGCATGGCACAAATTTAAATGCATAGAATTAAATAACAAACACAGATATGAACCTACCATTATCCAGGTTCTGCAGAATCAATTTACGTAAAGATGCCATTACATCACCCCTCAAATCAGGTCTATCTGAGATGGCAGAACCAAGAACTTTGGCAATGCCCTTGAATGACTGAAAGGCATACAGACAATAGATTATAATATATGATAGATAGTGGATCTAGTTTGTAGAAATGTCCTACTTCAAGGTGGTGAAATCAGCTTTATAGTAACACTTACCATTTTAAGATTGATCAGTACCTAAGTTCTCTGAACTGATCATAATATTCCTGACAATTCCTTTCAATCAACCCTAAGCAAAAAGGGCTGTATTTTACTTCACTGTAAAAAAAAAAAGCCACTGTGCCCACTTTGGCAGCCACAATTATGTGAAAAACTAAAAACTGATATCTTAATATACATCAGTTAAGAGGAAAAGTTCTCACATTTACATAAAAGTTACTAAAATATTCACCTGAGGAAGATCAATTGGGTTGTTACAAAATCCAGGTAGAAGAGACCATATCTGCATCTGTAGTGCATCATAAGTCTTACTTTCTACTTGTCTCTTCTCCTGAGCATGTTGTAATGCTAGAATGAAACAAAACAGATATCAAGAAAACATTAACTTCACAGCAAATTTATGTACACAAATTAAGGGGAAAAACTTAATATTATATGAACAATAATGTACCTTAGTCTTAAAATATTGCATAAATTACTTTTTTTTTCTGGTGCTATTGTCCTGAGTTTTATAAACACATTTTTGTACTGGAGGATTATGGCATATCATGTCTTCCTTACATTTATTCCTCAGTTTGGCAGCAAGAGGGAGGAAATGGCTGGCAAAGAATCCAAGCTCTGTCTCTCTTATACTGTCTCTTAGTAATGGAAGAAGCCAACTTCTTGGGAAATCCAAATCATCTCTAAAAATTTGAGAAAATATGGGGTAACAAAATTAAAATCAAAGAATCATGTGCACAAAATGACATGACTAACAGCTATTTACAAAATCTGATTTTCAAACAGTTTTCAAAAGTCACCTTTAATAGCTTATGACTGTGAGTAATGTAACTACAATTATATATAAAGACAGTGTGTGTGTGTGTGTGTGTGTGTGTGTGTGTGTGTGTGTGTGTGTGTGTGTGTGTGTGTGTGTGTGTGTGTGTGTGAGAGAGAGAGAGAATGAAGTAAAGGGTTGAAACAGTTCTTACTCCTCGCCAGTGATCTGCAGTGGGATGGCCTCCAGTACTACCCTGGGGCCCATTGTCCTCACAGCCATCCCCACTGTGTGGTCTAGTTCTGCTTTTTGAGGAAACTTGTAACTGTCACGCAAGTCAGCAAGGGACAACAGGCACTGGAATATAAACAAAGACTTACATGCCAAAATACTGGGGACAAGTATGACCTTTAGTGAAATGTTAAGTCCAAATATTTACATGAAGTTTATTATAGATGAATCTTACATGCAGCAATAATTGCCATTGGTATTTAAAGAACGTAATTAATAATAGGGCCCAAGGCCATACACTGGGAGAAGATATGGAAGCAAAGAAGTTGTTGGATGGCTACTCATCAATGACATAGGTATATTGTGTTGTACATCTGTGGACCATTATGTTAACTATCTCTAATTTGCAGGTCTTTAAATTTACCTTTCTCATAACACTGTGACACTGTTTCCCAAGCACCTGTAAATCAAAACATACAATTTTTCACAATTAAATCTTTTTATTCATTAAAGGTCTGTAGATTTCATCTACATTTTTTTAAAATTTTTATCAGCTTAAACCCTGGCAGTAATATCATCCCTTATTTCAAACAGCAAAGAAAATATAAAACCAACAAAAATCTCATCAAGACATTATTCACTTATAAACTTTTACTCACATTATTACTTAACTGTATTTATAAAACAGCAAAATATGCCCACCTCAAATAATTTGGCTAACACCTGGAGCACAAGATTCCATGATGCATGATACTGGTAACTCAAACCACCTTCAATGATTTTCACCAATTTCTCGGTTAAGTTTGATGATGGAGCAGATTTCAACATTACTTCAAATCTGTCAGAATTTGGGGCAACTATTTCCTGCAGTAAAACCTACAAAACAGAATAGACAAATATCATTTTAGCATCGGATAATATTTATTTGAGTAATGGAAAGTCTACAATTTTTACCACCTTAAATCTAAGTATAAACTTTCAAATATGTTATAATAATCTCCAAAACTTACCTTATTTTAAAGATACTATACAATGTAATGAGAAAAGACAACTCTCTTAGTCTCAAGTCAAATCAAAAGGTATAATACTTCACTTAGTATATATATTAAGTGTTAACAGGTCAACAAGGCAATGAATGATTACAATGAAAGTTTTTTATGTTGTTAAAATGATATTCTGTCTTAAATCTCAAATGTTATTTCATTAAAATACATTAGTAAGGTACTGTAATAGTTCTACATTACCTTCATAATTCCAACTGCTGTGACCCCAATGTGTGATTTTTCAGACAATAAACAACTCATGGCAGCAGTAAATATACGAGGAAGATGGCTGATACACAGATTAGCATTCAACCTAAAATAAAGCATTCCCTCACAGTGTGAAACAATTACCAGTTAGTTTTAAATATAATATATCATGTTTCAACAAACTTACTAGTAAAGTTAACATATCACAGAAACTCCAGGCAACATCAAAACAATAAATATTTAAAATCACAAATGCTCATTCTAAATTTTACATTAATTCATAGAATTGCTTATTGAAAAAAGAAGAACTAACTCAGCTCAAAACCAATTTAATTAATAAACAAAAGTTACCTGGCCAAGTTGACAAGAGCTTTCTCCATTACAGCCAACCAAGCATTCATTGGCTGAACATCATTTTCACCAGGTTGGAAATCATACAATGCCTATACATAAGATAAATTACAGTTACTTCTGATTTAATAAGTAAAACAATATCTACACTTTAGAGCGGATTCTCAACGAATTAAGCCAGGCTTTACAAAGCCGGTGACCTAAAAATGGCGGACGTACATGAAAGAAAAACCGCCTAATCTTTTAATAGTCTCTCCGCCTCTCACACGCCTCCCCACACGTCGTCCCTGCGGGGTACAGTAATTAAATCTCGGCTCCGAACATTAATATTTCCGTGAATATCTCTGGTGATATTATCTCCGTAGATAGTCGATTCATTGCTGCTCTACGGGCCAAATTATTCCTTTTTCGTCTCTGTTTTCAAAGATAATAGAACTGAAGAGCTTTTTTCCTTCGATCGCCATCAGCCGCCATGCTTTCTTCACCACGAGTTTAACTGATGAGCATGCGCACTTAATATTTCTCAGGTAGCTTCCGCATGGCGAACGGAGACGCAATTTAATTACTGTACCCAGCAGGGACGACGTGTGGGGAGGCGGAGAGACTATTTTTCTTTCATGTACGTCCACCATTTTTAGGTCACCGGCTTTGTAAAGCCTGGCTTAATTCGTTGAGAATCCGCTCTTAAATTTACCATTTAAATAGCTTATACTTACTTACAATACTTACAATATATGGAAGATTAAAAATTCAATCACTGTATGCAAATTCTTTGTCAATTAAATCAAAAATTGATTTTTCACAAAACTTAATCTTGTGAATAGACTTTTTCAAAACCAATCTCCCTGAATGAAAAACTTAAATGACCACACAAGTGTTACCATACATACCGTTATAATCTGGGCATTGAGTTCAGCAGGTAAGCTAGATGACTTCGGTTGATTGCAGAACATTCCATATAAAGCCTGCATTACAACAGAAGTTACCATCTGGAATTGAAGGCACATTATGAACATCTTATATGGTATAAAACCAAGCTAATGTATCATTTCTGACACTGCACAATGCTGAAGGCACTGGGTGCTGGGAATAAAACTAAACAATACCAGTGCATTCTATCATCAGTGTCCTGACTGACCCCACTGGCAATAATTTTTTGTTCTGAAATTCAGCAATAATTCACATGTATCTTTCCGTGCCCAGCCTGACACACAGTCCCCCACTCCCCCTCTAAAATTAAGCTCCCTGATGACTGTATTGTTTTGAGCACACTGAACTGTTCCAACCTACCACATTGCTGAGTGTCATCACTCGCAGCACTGTCTCACAGGTGGACTTCAAGCTGTTGTGAGGAAAGACGTGAAGAATGTCTTTCAACAATCCCAGAATGTGAAGGGTGTCAGATGCCTCACCAGTTCCTATAAAACAATTTCATTAAATTACTTACACAGGAACAACCATAAATACTGCATCATCTAAGATCCAGACTTTACTCTGATAAGAATAAATCTAAGATTTTGAAAAGAATTCACTCTTTTAACAGAGCACTTATAACCTGTTTGATGGAAGCTTAATATCTATCACTGACAAATTCTTCTTGTATTCCTCAGATTACTTTGCCAAGCTTCATATATATGACTTTTATAAAGGTCATTTTTTGTGAAAAAATAAATAAATAAATAATCAAGTAAGAAGTTCCAGTTCAATACCCCCACACTCCTCTATGTGCTGAATACAGTGTTTGGCTGTGGCACTGGCTGCAGGGTGGCTGGGTGGGGGGTCACCTTGGGTCATGAAGCTTGAACCTTTTAAAACGGAACACACAGCATGGTGGGCTGCTTTCCGTACCTGATGGAAAACAGTGATTTTTTTTCAGTACTTTTACAAACACGTGTGTATATTTTCATCTTAAATCCACGATGTTCTCAATTTATTACTCAAAAAAAGATGTGATCCTTAATTTATCCCCCCCTTTCTTACCTTCCAATTGTAAGGAAGATATATCAATATACCTGTTTCAACTTCACTAGAAACAGTCACTTCTATCCATCAATAATATGCCCTTAGTAATTTTTTTTTTATTTCTGTTACCTTTATTGCTTGGTTTGCATTTCTATTTAATGAATAGAGAACTACAGAACAAATGCGTTGCTATACGGGCAAACCAAAGTAAGCAACATTATCTCTTTCTCTCTTAAACAGAAACAGGCAAGCAAAATCAAGTGCACACACACATATATCAACTTGCTCTCACCTTTGGTTTGTGATGTGTGGTAAAGGACAGCAATCCCCTGTAGACCTGCAGAGTGGACGAGTCTGACCACACCACCTGGTCTTGGACGCGTAACAATGAGGACACACACACCAGAAGCTAAAAGAAATACGAAAAGTGATGTAAAAAAATGATACTGGAATGCTTAACAGTGAAAGAACTAAATTCAATCAAAAATACGCTGTAGATTATACTACATGAGCTATTAAAATAAAATAAAATAAAATAAAATAAAATAAAAATACAATCCACATAAATGATTTGAAATGAAAGTATATAAAATAATGTGAAACACGGTAATATATATGATTTTTAGAAACTAATAATCAGTTTACCGATTTTAGAAGAGAAGTAGAATCTGATCCTGAGTGATCTGCCAGCAGACCCATAAAAACTTTGGCAATGTCAGAAAACTTGCTTTTCAAGACTGCAACTGGAACCCTGAAACACATTTTACTTAAAGATACACAAGCAATAATAAGACTATAAGAAAGTCAACAAAGTTGGCTACTTTAGAATGAAATAGCTAATACCTCAGCAGGGTCATTACCTCATAAATTGCAGATGAAAATTTTCACTCCCCCCCCCCCATCTGAAATATGTCATGAAAGAGACCTTACCGTTTTATCACCAGGCTCAACAGATATGCCACAGCAGCCAAAGAATCTTCTGTGTCAATTGTTTCAAGACTGGTCATCTATCAAAACAGGAAAAAGATTAATTTAATTTTTTTTTCTGACAAATGTTATTATAAAATTAAAGTCTTGTCTTAATATTTTTTCTGATGTCTGCAAAACATCATATTGATCAAAAGAGAAATTGCTTTATCATATCATTTAATACCTAAACATCAATGTCCCACAAGAGTATATCAAAAATTTTAAAAAAATATTGCTATCCACTGTAACCTGGGTCAATGAAATGTTTCTTTTTCTCCAACTGATCAATGATCATTGATGATGTAATAGGTCAATATTTGGTGATGACTTTTTCATTCAATATCATATATTGTCAAACCTCAAATTCATGGATATAAGATCATAATCTATACGTATTACATAATTATAAAAGATGATGTTTTTCCCCCTCGCACACCTGCCTAAATTTTTTTGAATTTGATACTACATAGATTTAATTTTGCCCAATATCAATTTTTTTGCAATCAACTTAACAAATGTTCAATGCATTTCTTTAAGACTATGGAAAATGTACAGAATTTATTTGAGCATTTTCTAACATAACAATCAATTACTTCCTAAAATGAATACCAGACTGAGCAAGCTGAATAATCATCTTACAAGGGCAGCAAAATATTCCGTCTCTGTCTCCTTGCCCCCTTGAGTTTTGATCACTTCAGTCACAGCTGCAAGCACTGCAAGAATCTAGAATATACCCAAGGGAAAAAATGCAAAGATAATATAAACAATTACTTTGGATGTTTAATTATTTTTTGCAAATGGTTCACATCAAATTGTGAAAATAAGTCAGGTCTGGGACAATCAGTTTATACTTGTCAAAACAAAGGTCTGTAATTTTTTTCCTTTCACTACTGCACCTAGTGACTGATTTAATAATTCTAAAGATAATTGCACATTTGAAGCATAAACTTTAAGTACTTTTCCAAACATTTTTTTTTATTTTAGAACTATGGTCAAATAAAATTTATACACAGACCAACAATCTGTACTCACTTCTTTGTGCATTGCAGAGTTTGATGCCCAGTACCTATGTACAGAGCTGAAGGCACTGTTGGTACATTCAGTCAGGTTGGATGCCCATGTCTGAAATGTCTTAGCATCAGACAAACCACTCCCAATACTGCCTGCTTTATCAATGTCAACATCCTCATCCACTCCCTCATTGTGTATTGTCAAGGCCTCAAGAGTTAAAGTACTGGGACCTGAAATAAAAATTTATTTAGAAAATAGGATACTATTGATATGTTTGACATGGTATCAGGACAAGTAGACTTCTAACGCCGAGCAGTTTTTACTTTATAACAGAGAAAACCAAGGTGCATGCTGATCTTTGCTAAGTACATTGTATACAGAACAGGGAGCTTTGCTGTGTCATCACATCAGTTTTGTGATAGAACTTTCAACACTACTCCTGACCAGTTCTCTGAGCTACCCAGCTCTCCCATGCTCTCTGTGAGGGCTATATCTTTCCCTGCATTAATGCTGTTTTCAAATAAGTGGAGAAATCATACAGTCATCTCATGGAGATAGAAGATGAATGTCACTTAATTCTTTTTTAAGATGTCCAGCATATGATGACCTCCAATGCCCCTTTATTTCTAACATCCAAAGCTTCGTTAACATAGCCATAAATGATACCAATGAGCTTTTTAAAACCCTAACGGGATCTGGGGAAATGGACATACATGCAGTAAAGTTACTTCTTGTGCTGGTACTTGTCTAAAATTGCATGGAAAGAAGAGCCCGGCTCATAGCTCCTGGTAATACTCAAATTTGATCTTAGGTTCAGTCATTACTTCCATTTAATTATTATAGCTATTGTGCATCATTTTGCTATTATTAATAACCCCTGATGTTTGGGTGAGATCCACTCACCGTGAGCAAGTGACTCGTGGATCAAACGGTACCGAACATACGGTGTGATTATGAAATAGTATGTAATTGTGATACTATCCATTTATTTATTTATTTGATGTAGTTAGATGTAAAGTCCATGATCTGATTATTGTACCTTACACGTGGGGGTGTTTATCAATATAAAGAATTCTATGTAGCATAAGTTGGTGGAATTTAAACAGTTTTACCTGTATTATAATTGAAAAATCTGTTTTTCGCAGCTTCTCTGAATCTCTTGCCTTCGGGGTTACTGTCACTGCTGTGTCCCTTCTTCCATTTCTTTCGCTTTGTTTGTTTTAGTTTCACTCGGCTTTTAACTTTACCAGATACCATTTTGCACGTGTGGATATACGTGGCCTCTTTTTGGGAAAAGGAAGCGACTATCTCCAAGACAGGCCAAAGTAGTAGACCGTAAAAAGAGAGAGAAATGTGCTCTTTGAATATCTCCCAAGGTTCTGGGGAATAGTAAATTACTGTTAAATTTTTATATCGACACTTGTATGGCCTAGTTATAAATCTTTCCATCCTCATGCCTCCAAGACGGGTGCCCTAGCAATTGCTTCTCGATCAAACTTTGAATGCATTGGCCCGAAAAATACAACATCGAATTTTGATACTTTTAGTGCAAATTATCTCGTTTTGTTTATCAGACGACAATGAACGCAACATATTATTACAGCATTTTCTTACAGAGTAACTTTTATAGCCCTTAAATAACTACATATTTAGGTTGGAATGTTGCTTTAAATTTTTGTATATATCAGAGATCTCACCAAGTTGGTAAATTTCAAAGTATTCAGGCCATACCAATTTGCGCAATTTCAAAGCCATTTAATGATTTATAATTCAAACTTTTGCTTCATTCCTTTATTGAAGTATACTCAGAGTGGGAACCAGGCGCTTTTCCAATACACCACTGAATGAGGGTTCGATCATGCATAAATTGGGGGTCCGCCATATAGATAAACGTCCCAATAAAATATTCGCCCCGATAGATACGTCTCTATACATACACGTCTCAATAGATTTACGTCTCGTTAAATTTACGTTCCGATAGATCCACCAACAGATTCCTATAAACCCACGTATCTTTAGATCCAGGTACCGCTAGATCCATCTATCTGACATCGTAATCGGCTAAAAGGCCCATATCAACTTGCGTTGTAAAATTTAGAACACATTTTTATGTTCTTTTTTGTTTTGTTTTGTTTAGAACACATTTACATGTAAATTCAGAACACTTTTTACGTGTTCGAATGTTGCATTTTGAGAACGCTTTAAACAGTGTTCTGACGCTAGAACAGTAATTAAGCGTTGTGAAATATAGAACACACTTTTGTTCTTTTTATGTTCTTTCACTGAGTATTGTGTGAAAACGATCTAGTAGAATAATATATTGCTGACTGCGTACTGCCGTTTTAAAGAAGTGCATTTTATGTACTGAGTAGTATACCAAC